TGAATATTAGAAAGATATTTGAGTTCACTTGTGTTTGTCAATTGTTAACTACCGTGTATGCCTCATATTTTAGAGCACATGTGTCAAACACAAGGCCCGCGGGCCAAATCCGTCCCGCCAGGCCTTGCAATGTGGCCCGCACCGCGCTGTCATCACTGCACTCCGCTGCGTTTCCATCACAATGACAGTTTATGACTGTTCAGTAAACCATTCGGCCCGCGATTTAGGCTGGATTTTAGATTTTGGCCCCTTCTCTGATTGAGTTCGACACCCCTATTTTAGAGGATAGAATAACAAATAGTCCTTGTTTTCAAGAGTGGCAAAGGCTGACAACCAAAATCTGTTCTCTTCTTCCTCCCAGCTATACTAGTTCCTAGACTTCTTTGCTGTTAGTTGTGGCCAAGTGATTAAGTTCTTACCAAGAGAACATGAGCAGAAAACATCAGTGCCACTCCCATGCCTGAATATTAATTAACAAACTGGGACTGACCCCACCTTCATGCTCTCTTTCCCCTTTCCATAAGATGAAACCTGTACATGGCAGCAGCCCAGCTGATGACTATATGCCTTAAAACATGGCAAAATAATACAACTGAAAAAACTTGTCCCTGGAGAGATCATGTAGAACAGAGCTTCATTAACAGACAGGATCACTCGCCTTGGAATTGTTAGGTAGGAAGAAATAAACTCATTATTCTTTAACTCGCCTTACTGTTGAATCTTTTTGTTATAGCAATTTATTTAGCATTACCCCAACTAGTACATTAAGAAATTTCCAGACTAGCAAACTAACCCAATACTTTCCAGTACAATGTAACCTTTTAGCTCCCCACTCATTTCTGACCACTTCCTATGCTATGACTCACACCATGATATAGTTTATTCCTTAAAGATTTTAACACTCAACTGGCTGCCTCTCTCTCCAACACTATTCTTGTCCTAACTCATAGTGATCTGCACATCCACAATAATAATCCTTCCAATACCCTGAAATCTCAGTTACTTGTCTTTCTCTCTTCCACATATGCTCAGTCATACTACAAAACAGTGGCTCTCTAACATTTTGGTTTTAGGACCTCTTTACTCTTAAAAATTATTATCCCAGAGAGCTTTTGTTTATATAATTATGTCTATTAATACCATATTATAAATTAAACTGATAGGTCCTGAAAATATTCATTACTTTTAAAAATAATAGTAACAAGCCCATTACATCTTAACATAAGTAACAGTTTAATGAAAAATAAGTTATATTTTCCAAAAAAATTTCTGGGTTCTCAATTCTGCTTCTACATTCAATGAGTTTTGGTTGAAGTATATGGAGAAATTTGGACTCACACAAATATGTAGCTAAAAATGGGAGTACTTAAAAGCTTTTTCAGAGAATTTGGATATTCTTCTTTGATACTATACCAAAACTCAACAACTCTTGTTTAGTTGCAATATGGACTCTGAAATCATATCAGTAAACTATTCTCCCTGTTAGAGTAAAACTGACTGACCTATCTTGAACTTTGAAAGTATCTTTTACTCATGCACAGGTTATTTGGAAAGTATTAGTTCACTGAATTATGCAATATAAAAAAAAATCACATTTGTTAATATCACTACCCATCTCATCAAAAATTTTTTAGGTACTGGGAAGCACTCAAGCTCACAGTAACTAAGACACGTTTTCCAAAATTCTACTTGGTACATGAAAGCTCAAATTTTATCACTGTTGCTAAAACCGGTTTGGCTCAGTGGATAGAGAGTCGGCCTATGGACTGAAAGGTCCTGGGATGGATTCCAGTCAAGGGCATGTATCTTGGTTGTGGGCACTTCCCCACTAGGGGGTGTGCAAGAGGCAGCTGATCAATGATTCTCTCTTATTGATGTTTCTAACTCCCTATCCCTCTCTGTAAAAAAATCAATAAAATATATATTTTTTAAAAATTTATCACTGTTGTTTTCCAGGTAATGATAGTCACACTTCTCTCCTTTTTAAGAAAATGTTCACCAAATACCTAAGCCTGAATAACCATACTTCAAGTAAAAATATGCTGTTCAATAAAAAATATAAGTAGTTCAGTTCACAATTGCACAAGAACTTTTCCTCACAAAACCACCTAATTGAAGTCTGCGCCGAAAGCAGTTGATGAAAACATCAAACATGTGAAAAGTACAATCAAGGGATGAGATTTTATACAATTAGTAATTTTACTGCTTTGGTTTTACCAATGACATTCTTAAATATACCTGGCTTTTTCTTTTTATTTTCTTTTTTAATATATAGGTGTAGCACAGTTCAGTGCCACTGCCTTGATTTGTGCTAAGGTGCTAGCAGTATTAATCATTAGTTTGCACACACTGAAAAAGAATGTCTTAGTATTAGACATTAAAGGAAAATAGTTTTGACCTTGAGTCCATTCATTCCACACAGAAAACCACTGTTCTAGAACTGTGGTTTGAAACTTAATTTCAAGTACGGCATTCTCTAAACAGTACCTCCTCTCTTTCCAACACACTCTAATTCTTCTGTACACACCCCTCTTCCTCTACATACTCACTTATCCAGAATCTCAACTGGTTAAATCCAACTCTCTCCTACTTAACTTACATAGGAACAGCTGAATACAGATAAAGAAAAAGCACCTCAACACTGACTGGTCTCAATTTAAAGTCATAACCACTAAAAAAAGTGGGTCTTTAAACTACCATGTTTTCCCAGTCAATTTCCTTATTCTTCCAGAGTGTAGGACTTAGAACCTAGATTAAGTCACATCTCCTCTCTCTTTAAACCTTGAACACCTCTTCCTACCTACTTACAATCTGCTGATGAATGACCATGCTTCTTATTTCACTGTGAAAACAATAGAAATAATCGAGAACATCTTCCCACAAATTCTATCAGCCTACTTGCAAATGTACCTTATATTCTATCTTCCTTTCTGTTACAGAATCTACAGTCCATGTTACTATTAAAGGCTAACTTACGCACTGGGTTCCATGTTCTCGTTGAATACTCAAGGACAGTGCTCCTATAGTTTTGCCTCTCCCTCCAATTATAAAATGTTCTCACTTTACTGGGTCATTTCCAAGAATATACAAACATGCAGCAATAACTCCCATCTTAAAGGGGAAAATAATCCCATGACCCCAATCTCCCAGAAACCAAAGCCTTATGTTTTTGTTCTTTTACAACACACTCCAAGAGTTGTCTATTATAAAGACTGTTACCAGTTCCAATACTCCCATTCTCCTTTGAATACAGTCCAATAAAGTTTCCTCCCAATATCGCCACAGAAACTTCTCAGAATACCAGCGACCTCCTCTTGGATAATTTTTTAGTTCTTCTCTTAGTCAAACAGCCGCATTTGATTTAGTTGATTACTGCATCCTAAAAACTTTCCACTTGGCCTCTGGTGTTTAAGGAAGACAGAGGGGAAGGACAAAAAAAGCATTTGATAATTCAAGGCCCAGTAGCTTAGTGTTAGGAAACGCAGATACAATGTCTGCATAGTTTCTTGGGGGTTAAAGGGAGGCCCAAATGTTGAATTCAGTTTTAGATCTCAAGCTTTGAAAGAGTAACAGAACAACTCAGTGGAAATGGAATCATAATAGCATTCAATTCCTTACACCACACTTGGTGAATGACCAACTTTGAAAGAGCTCATCAATTGCCGAAACTGGTTTGGCTCAGTGGTAGAGCGTCGGTCTGCGGACTGAAAGATCCTGGGTTCGATTCCGGTGAAGGGCATGTACCTTGGTTGCGGGCACATCCCCAGTAGGGGTTGTGCAAGAGGTAGCTGGTCGATGTTTCTCTCTCATCGATGTTTCTAGCTCTCTCTCTCTCCCTTCTTCTCTGTAAAAAATCAATAAAATATATTTTTTTAAAAAGAGAGCTCATCAATTGCAGTAGAGGAATATTCACCAAACCATGGCCTGTTAAAAAGGCTTTAGATGGTCTTCACAGGCCTCATAGTTCTTATGAAATAGGAACTTCTATTATTAACTGTATTTTATATATATGAGGCACTTAAAGGTAGTTTGCTCAAATTATTAAGGAGCAAAGCTAAGAACCAGGTGTAGGGTTGTGGGGCTGAAATCTCAAGCTTTCTAAGCAAAACCTTCAAACTGTTTCTCGCACGAAAAATCAGGAAACTTGAATCGGATGGGTGCCAATTTTTCAAATTACAGACTGACTAGACATTCTTCTGGAAGTGAACAGCAAAAGTAACAATATATGCATATTAGGCACTGTCCTAGCCATCATCATTTCCTACTTAGTGGCCATTACAAGCCTGTCTTCCTAGTTCACACCATCATACTCGTTCTCTTTGGCAGGTGTGGGCACAAAATGAAGCTGTAAAACGGTATCTACTACAGGAGCTGAAATCACATCAGATTCTCTACTTGTTATCCCTCTTCCATTATTTCATCACACTTGGAAGGGATCCTGGGGAAAAGCCAGCACAGGCCCGAGACTGCCTCAGTCTACTTCCAGCAACAACCACAAAACAGATAAACAAACCCACTGATTAAAAAAAAAAGGGATCGAAGTGCAAACGTCCAGGCTCTATACCCAAACAAGGACGACTTTGCTTGCAAAGTATAATACAAAACAGGAGATGTGCGGCCTGTGGACACCTCGCCGAGCATGTTCTCCGCAGCAGGAACCCAGCTGGAGGTGAAGAAGTTTAGCCTCACGAACCGCTTTTAGCCTCAAGCTTAAGCCCACACGTAACCGCCCGGCCCGCTCACTCCGTCCCCAGCCCGGCCCGGCGGAAGCTCCTAGAGGAAGAGCTGCATTAAGTCGTCACCTTCAGGAGACATCCTCTGTCATAATGTTCGCAGCCCCGCTGTCCTCGCTCTGGGCCTCGAGCGCCATCTTCCCGCGCCAAGGCCGCCATCTCCTCTCCCTCCCCTGAACTCTCCAAGGACCCCCGTCTTCCAGGATGGAAACGACGTCCTGAGAAAGCAGCGCCGCCCTCCCGGACGCGGTGGCCAGCGGAGCCAATATGGCGCCTGGCCACGTGACCCGGGGCAGTCGGATTTCCGGCCGACGGGGGCGGAAGCCGAGGAAGACGCAGTCTCAGTCGTCGACGTTAGTCGCTGCCCTCGCCGCTAACGGTAATGACTCTTAGGTAGCCTTCGCGTTCCCGACCCCATAGCGGCCCGCCCTCACTCTGGGGCGTGGCTCGGGCCTGAAGGACAGCGGCGGCGCCGCGGAGAGACGCCCGGCGGCCGGCCCCCGGGGACGGGGCCCTTTCCGGCCGCCGCATTCGCACCTGACAGGGCGGCCCCTCCCTCTTCCCGGCGCGCGCGCGGGGCCGCGGCCACGAGAAAGGGGCGGAGCTCGGCCTGGCGCCCCGGGCGCGCGCCGCCACGGCTGGGCACCGGGACGCTCACCGGCGCCCGGCTTCCCTGTGTCCTCCCCTTCCCCTTTTACTTGCTCTTTCTTTCTTCACATTATGTGTTAACATTTACTGTATACCAGTCACCGGCTAAGTCGCGGGGACAAAGCAAAAAAAACAAAAAAAAAAACACGCCCCACCCTGTCACCGTGGGACTCGCAGTCTGAGGGAGAAAGTCTGAGGGGGAATCTCTGAAATGCTTATAAGATTACAGCTTTGAGAAGTGCTAGGGAGACCTGTGTTCTCCGAGAGCTAATAACACCAGAGGAGACCTGACTCAACCTGGGATTTAGGGAGGTCCCCCCGGGGGAGCCTCAGGGGCTGGAGGCTGAGGAGGCCGCCGGGGTCGCTGTGCTGAGCCCGGGGGCAGAGCCCTCCTGGGAGGGAAATGCACCCACAAGGCCATGGAACCGAAATCCTATGTGTTTGCTTCCGAGCGCGTGGCTGAATACCCCTTGGCTCATCCAAGAAGAGCCACGCCCCTGGACACTTTTTATGAGCGGAGCGGCAGGTGTTGGAAGAAACATACTCGCCTTTGGTTTTCTGGTGTGATTCCCCTTGAAACTAAAATGTACCGGGAAAGGCACACAAGCCCCCCTTGCTTTGCAGTTACTAACGCTGACCATTTTCGTTTTCTTCCAGTTCTGTTATGCGTGGCTAAAGTCATGGTGAAATGCTGCTCCGCGATCGGATGTGCTTCTCGCTGTTTGCCAAATTCCAAGTTAAAAGGACTGACTTTTCACGTGTGAGAGTTTCCTGTAGTTAAGCCAAGTGCTTTCAAAAGGAAAAAAAAAAATTACACAAAAAAACAAAAAACAGTTTTACTTAAATCTTAAGTTTTGAACTTCAGTTCCCAAGTTCTTTTTAAATAACCTTTTTTACTTACATTTGAAGTGACGATGATACCTTTGCACTTATAATTTAGTTTAGAGATTAAAGATGCCTGCCATGGTATCCTGCTGGTTAACAAAAATATCATCAAAGCCATGTGTGCTAGCATTATGTTGCATTTTAGCATGCCTTCAAAGAAAGTCCGTGTTGTTTACCTGTAGTTTACAATGTGAATGAAGGATCTTTGCCTAAATATATTCTGTCCTTGGATGCAGAAAAACCTTCAGTTGTGGATCTTACCATAAAGTATTAAATATCCTTTGAAATTTCTTTATAACGTGAGAAAAATTTAAATGAGGACCAGACCATATTATGAAAATCTATTATTAAACGTAGAAAAATAATATTATTGAAACCAAGAGTATAGCGAGTAAAAAATTATTTTTAAACAGAGGTAGAAACACGATGAAGTCTTGATCAGTTTCTGCGTAATATTTCCCAAGCCAGTAATGCGATGCCTAGTTAAGAAATTAATTTAGTCAATCCTTAATTCAAGTATAATATCAATAGTGTTTAATTTTAAAATACTTTTTTTATTTTTTCTAGATTCCCCACAGATGAAAATGTAAAGAGAAAATGGGTATTAGCGATGAAAAGACTTGATGTGAATGCTGCAGGCATTTGGGAGCCTAAAAAAGGAGATGTGTTGTGTTCAAGGCACTTTAAGAAGACAGATTTTGACAGAAGTGCTCCAAATATTAAACTGAAACCTGGAGTCGTACCTTCTATCTTTGATTTCCCATCTCACTTACAGGTTTGTTTATGAGTACTGCTTGCCACCATTACTCACTCTTTATGGTACTATTGAAGAAGCTTCACCACACTTGCTTTGAAATCCTCTTAAGTTTTTAAAGATGTAAACTGCTGCTTCAGACTGTGAAATATGTAGTAGGAGTATTTTACCAATAGCCACTCAGAAATATTTATAAAGGTTTGGTGAAATGGACTACCCCTAAGAGTTAGCATAGTTCAAGATTTGTATCTGAAAAATAGAGGAACATAAGAATGGTTTAAGTCAAGTTCCAAGTTGGCAGTTCTGCTCGCTTTGGTTTAGAGCCATATACATGCAAACGTGAAACCTAGGTAGGACTGAAAGGAAAAGGAAAATAAAACAAAACAAAAAAACAAAACAAAACAAAAAACAGGAGAAGGTAAGGAGAGAAGAGGTCTAAAAAAGGAAATTGATTGGGTAAGTAAATTCTAGTTGAATTCTGTTTTTTCTCAGTGATATTAGTGCCATGGGTTGGCTGCCTCATCCTCAACACCTTCCTTGACCTAATATACCTGGAAGTGTATTTGCTTCCATAAACTTTAGACTGACTGATCCAATGTGGAAAGTTCATAGAGAGCCTGTGGGTTCCACAATATAATGAGCCTCCATTGAAAGGTATCTCCCTCCTGACAGCTGGAAACAAGGGAAGTGGTCCAGCAGTGATCTTGGTTCCTTTCTGCAGTTGTTCCTATTGAGGCACCTGAGTTATCAGGTAGAGACTGTCTCCCTTTCTCCCTTATTAGTAAATGTGCAATATCTTGTGCAATTTTCTCTGAAGGGTTTTTATCCTATAGTAAGGCATCATCTATCTGCTCTGTTAAGAGGACCTTAAGAAATATTGGCATAATAAAAAATGAGTTACTTTCAAAAATATTTTCTAATAAAGAAAATTTTATTATAGAAAATTAGATAATAAAGGAAAGAGAAAATAAAAATTAATAATAATTATGTAATCCAGAGATAATACTGTTAACACTCTGATGTGTATCATTCTAGTGGTTTGTATATGTATGTTTATATATAAATTTAACTCTACCTATATAGTCATAAAAATAGAATTATACTGGCCCTGCTGGCATGGTTGAGCATTGACCTATGAACTAGGAGGTCATGGTTCTATTCCTGATCAGGGCACATGCCCGGGTTGTGGGCTCGATCCCCAGTGTGGGACATACAGGAGGCAGCAGATCAATAATTCTCTCATCATATATGTTTCTATCTCCCTCTCACTCTTCCTTCCTCTCTGAAATCAATAAAAATATATTTTAAAAAATAGAATTACACTGTATGTATATCCTCTTTTTATTGGCTTATCTTTTTTTAAATTTTTTTAGTTGATTCGAGAAAGAGAGAGAGAGAGAGAGAGAGAGAGAGAGAGAGAGATCGATGTGAGAGAGAAACATCAATCAGTTGCCTTCTGCCCCAAATAGGGATCAAACCCACAATCCGAGTATGTGCCCTGACTGAGGATCAAACCCCCTCCCCTCACCTTTCAATGTGCAGGATAGCACTCCAACCAACTGAGCCACTTCGGAGGCAGCCTATGGATGTTTCTCTCTCTCCCCCTCCCTCCCAGTCCTGTCTTCCCCCCCTCTTTCCCTCTCTCCCTCTCTCCCTCCTTTCTTCCCTCTCCCTTCCTCTCTCTAAAATCCATTTATTTTTTTTTTTGCACTATAATATTTCATTGTATAAATAAACTAATTGTCCCATTCATCTACGACATTTTTGTTCATGACTTTTGATGCACTTATGTCCATATTTCTGAAGAATGTATGCACACTTCTATTAGAAGTGGAATTGCTGGATTCTATTAATGTGTCTGTTTGGCTTAAGTAGATATTGTCATAATTTTCCAAAGTGGTTTGCCAATTTACAGTCCCACCATCAGCATATTACAGTTCCTAAGGATCTACATCCTTGCTAGTACTTCTTGGTGTGAGCTTTATAGAGCATTTTTAATGACCATATAGCCATTGATTCTATGTATGAACAATAATTTATGTAATTAGTCCTCACTATTGTAGATAAGTCTTTCACTATTTTAAATAGCACTATAATGAACATTATTGTAGCTAAATCTTTGTACATATCTTTATTTCTTTGCACTAAATTCTTAAAAATAAAACTGTTGGATCAAAAATTTTACATATTAAAAAAATTTTTTAAAGAAATCTTTTTATTTTAAATTGATGAAAGAGAGAGAAAAATGGATAGGTTGTCTCTCATATCCATCTCAGTGAGCAAACCCACAACCTGGGTATGTGCCCTGACCTGGAATCAAACAGGACACCTGGTGTAAGATGAGGCTCCAACCAAATGAGCCACACAGGTTAGGGCAACATTTTTTTTGTTGTTGTTTTTTGGTTTTGTTTTTTATTTTTTAATAAATCTTTATTGTTCAGATTATTACAGATGTTCCTATTTTTTTCCTCCATAGCTCCCCTCCACCTGATTCTCCACCATCTGATTCCCCTCCACTTGATTCCCCATGCCCTTACCCCCCCACCACTGTCTTCATCCATAGGTGTAAGATTTGTGTCTAATTTTTCCCCACACCCCATACACCCCCTTTCCCACGAGAACTGTCAGTCCACTCCCTTTCTATGTCCCTGATTCTATTATATTCATAAGTTTATTCTGTCCATCAGATTTTTTATTCACTTGATTTTTAGATTCATTTGTTGATAGGTATGTGTTTGTTGTCATTTTGTTGTTCATAATTTTTATCTTTACCTTTTTATTTTTCTTTCACTTCTTAAAGAATACCCTTCAGCATTTCATTTAATCCTGGTGAACTCCTTAAGCTTTTTCTTGTCTGTGAAGCTCTTTATCTGACCTTCAATTCTAATTGATAGCTTTGCTGGGTACAGTAATCTTGGTTGTAGGTTCTTGCTCTTCATCACTTTGAATATTTTTTGCCACTCCCCTCTGGCCTGCATTGTTTCTGTTGAAAACTCAGCTGACAGTTGTATGGGTGCTCCTTTGTAGGTAACTAACTGTTTTTCTCTTGCTGCTTGTAAGATTCTTTATCTTTTGCCCTTGGCATTTTAATTATGATGTGTCTTAGTGTGGTCCTCTTTGGATTCCCTTTGTTTGAGGTTCTGTGTGCTTCCTGTACTTGTAAATCTATTCCTTTCACCAGGTAGGGAAAGTTTTCTGTCATTATTTCTTCTAATAGGTTTTCAATATTTTGCTCTCTCTCTTCTTCTGACACCCCAGTTATTTGGATGTTGGTACGCTTAAAGTTGTCCCAGAGGCCCAGAGGCTCCTTACACTATCTTCTTTTTGGATTCTTTTTGCTTTTTGCTTTTCTGGTTGGGTGTTTTTTGTTTCCTCATATTTTAGATCTTTGGTTTGATTTTTGGGGTCCTTTGATCTACTGTTGAATTTCTGTATATTCTTTATTTCAGACAGTGTATGCTTAATTTCTGACTGGTCCCTTTTCTTTTCTTTTTTTTTGGCATTCTCATTAAGATCCTTAAAGGTCTCATTAAGTTCCTCAGAGGTTTTTATTTTTTTATTTATTTTTAAAATATATTTTATTGATTTTTTACAGAGAGGAAGAAAGAGAGTTAGAAACATTAATGAGAGAGAATCATCGATCAGCTGCCTCTTGCACACCCCCACTAGGAAAATGCCTGCAACCAAGGTACATGCCCTTGACTGGAATCGAACCTGGGACCTTCCCATCCACAGGCCAACACTCTATCCACTGAGCCAAACCAATTTTGGCGATTTTTCCTCTTTGCTTGGAGATTTTGGAGGTGTCTGACCAGAGCTGTAGTTTGTTAGGTTAAGATGTGATAGGGCAGGCCATTCATATGCAAAAGCCACTGCACAGGGCTTGGGTGGGTTGGTAAATTGTGCGGAGTGGGGTCTCAGGGAATCACTAGGCTAGAATGTGGCAAACAGCGATGGCTGCCAGTCAGCCATCTTTGCATATATGAGTTTCTGTGTCCCTGCATCCTGCACCCCGGCGCAGTAAACAATGATTGCTGGGCAAACCTCTGCAAGAAAGTTACCCTCACTTTCCAACCATGGCAGACAGTCCAGTTTCTCCCTCAGAGGAGTTTGAGTCCCCAGAGTCTCACCAGAAACTGGAATTCAAAGTAATCAGGAGCTCGTGTCTTCCTTCTGGTTGAAAAAAACAGCACACACAGCCGCCAGCCGCCAGCCTGATTTGCGTGATTCACCCGCCTCCCATACCTCAGCTTTTCCACACTTGTGCACATCTCAGTGTTCTTTTCTCTTTCCTTCTAGTTGTAGAACTTCTACTCAGCCAGCTTTCCCGTGGTTCTGGGTGATAGACGTTTTGTCTTTAGTTGTAGTTTTGGTATAGTTGTGTGAGGCAGTACTTACAGGTGTATACCTTATGCCTCCAACTTGGATTTTTTTCTAGGGCCACATTTCAAAGACATGTTTTTGATACCATTCTTCCCAAGGCCTACTGTGGGAAGCCGTGTTCCGTGGGGCCCGAGGGCAAGGATGGAGCATAGGGTAGGGACGCCTACCTGCTCTCCTACAGGGGATTGAGCGCAGGGTAGGGACGCCTACCTGCTCTCCCCTAAGCCTTCAGGGTCAACCAAGGACAGGGCAGACCATAGCCCCATTGTTAGAGAGTGCGCGTGATGCACGACTTATCTGGATGTTCTCAGCTAGGCTGTTCTCAATGATATCTAACCAGACGCTTGCTCTATGTATCTTTTCCAAGAATGTCTTGAGGGGCTGACGGGCGGTCTTGTCCTGGGAAAGGGGCACTTGGAGAAATGCCCAGAAAAGCCTCATAAATGTACGCTTGCAACTAATAAAGTTGCTGCAGTCTCATCATGGACTAGCAGTCCTCCTGAAGTCCCGCTTTCTCTTGTCTTTATTTCTCTTAAAACCTCCTAGCCCTACCTCCAGGACCTGTGATGCCGGCTGGATCCGGTAGCCTACCAAAAAACTTTTATCAATCTCTTCTCCCTACTAACAATGCATAAGCATTACTGCCCAGCTTAACCTTTGGTATTAGTTGTTTTTAACCTTTGCTAAAATTAATACGGTAGGCAAAAATGTCATCTTACAGTTTTAATTCATCTCTGTATATTAGTGAGTTTCTACATTTTTTATGTGTTTATTCACCATTTATATTTCTTGTGTGTGTGTGTGTGTGTGTGTGTGTGTGTGTGTGTGTGTTATATCTTCAGGTCCTCTTCTATTTTCACATTTTAAGGTATATTATAATGTCATACACACACACACACACACACACACACACACACACACACACACAGTAGAGGCCTGGTGCATGAAATTTGTGCACCGGGGAGGTTGGGGTGAGTGTCCCTCAACCCAGCCTGCACCCTCTCCAATCTGGGACCCCTTGAGGGAGGTCTAACTTCCCAGTAGGATCAGGCCCAAACAGGCATTCAGACATCCCTCTCACAATCCAGGACTGTTGGCTCCCAACTGCTCGCCTGCCTGCCTTCCTGATTGCCCCTAACAGCTTCTGCCTGCCAGGCTGATTACCCCCTAACCACTCCCCTGCCAGCCTGATTGATGCCTTACTGCTCCCCTGCCAGCATGTTTGCCTCCAACTTTCCTCCTCTGCAGGCCTGGTCCTCCCCCAACTGCCCTTCCCTTTCTCCTACAATTGAAACTTTGTAGCCTGGAGCGGAGCCAACCCTTCTGCTCTCCCTGGCGGTAGCCATTTCTGTTGGTATTTACTTATCTTCTATAATTGAAACTTTGTAGCCTTAAGCAGAGGCCAGGGCAGGTGGAAAGCTTGGCTTCCTCAATCTCCGGGGACAACTCAAGCCTCCTGCTGTTTCCAGCTGCATGGCAGCAGCCATTTCTGTTCAGATTTATTTATCTTTTATTTATCTATCATTGAAACTTTGTAGCCTTAAGTGGAGGCTTGGGCCAGCAAGGGCAGGTGGAAAGCTTGGCTTCTTCCATTGCTAAGGAAACTCAAGCCTCCCTCCTGCTCTCTGTGGCTGCAGCCATCTTGGTTGGGTTTGTTTGCATATTCACTCCTGATTGGGTGGTGAGCATGTCTGGTGGGTATAGCGAAGGTACGGTCAATTTGCATATTACTCTTTTATTAGATAGGATGTGTGTGTATGTGTGTGTGTGTGTGTGTGTGTGTGTGTGTGTGTGTATTGAGGATATGAAACATTTAACTGCCATCTATGTTGCAATTACTTTTTGTTGTCTTTAATTTTGTTTTTATTTAATTCAGACTTTTTTGTTAAGTAGTCAATTCTATATTTTCTTTTGTATTGTCTGACTTTAGCCTTTCCCACCTTAAGATTATATAAACATTCCCTATATTTTTTATAGTTCCTCATGGTTTTTACCTTTACATAAATTTTTAATACATAGACTTTCATCATGTTTTATTATGTATAAGGATATAACTGTTTTCTTATTTGATTTTGACATTATTTATAGCTTTTCCCCACTTATTTATAATTCAAGTATTTTATTCTAAAGGCTTTTATCTACTAGAATTATTTCTAGATTTTTCTGTCCAGGAAGTATAGCAAACTGGTTTTACTATTATTTCTATGTAAAATTTTTAATACCTGGAGGACATATCTTCTCTCATTATTAATCTTCTTTTTTAGGAAAATTTGTGCTTCTAGATGAACTTTAGAGCAATTTTGGAAAAGTTCCTTTAAAGTAATTTCAGTGGAATTTAAATTTTAGTGACTTTTAAAAGTTGTTTTCATTAAAAGAAATGTTTTAATTTTGCAGAGTTAGGAAGGAATAAAATTTTTAAAAGGACAGAAGTATCTACAATAATTGTTATTAACAATTCTTAACAGGGGAAAAAAGAACAGCTTCATTGTAGGAAAAACTTCACCCTCAAACCCCTTCCAGTCACACACCACAATCACAAGCTTGTTGGTGCTTCCTCGTGTATTGAAGAATTTCAATCCCAGTTCATTTTTGTAAGTAAAATTACTTACTGAGCTGATGTTGATATTTTTAAGATGAATTTTTCCTTTCCATTAGTTTTAAACTTTTCAAGATCTTTTTGAAAAAAACTAGGAGTCTAGATGTTTGAGATTTTTCTTTTTAATCTATAATATCCCAGGGCCATGGTAATACAATAACAAATTAGAGGTAGTTAAGCCTTTGTTTATATATTTAGTTAAGAGAATGCTTTCACAAGGCTATTTCAACCAAGAAAATGCAGTTCCTCCCTTTAGATACTATATTTTTATATGGAAAAATCTAATTTAAAAAATAGTTCTGCCTGTAGGTTTTAAAATGTAATTATACGCATATAGTAGTCAAGCTTGCACTTATTTATACATTTCATTGTCTGTTCATGCTAGAACCAGGCCTGGAATCCAGATCTGTTTTACTATCTTGATTACTATAGCTTTATAATAATTCTTTAAATCAAAGTTGGTAGTCTTCCAACTTTGTTCTTTTTCAAAGTTGTTTTGGTTATTCTGTGTCCTTTGCATTTTCATATGAATTTTAGAATCACTTTGTAAAACATCCACACAAAAAACCAGCTAGAATTTTGACTGGGGTTATGTCAAATCTATAGATTCATTTGGGAAGGATTGCCATCTTTCTTTTTTAAGAATTGCAATCTTAATAAGTATCTTTTACACCGAAACCAGTTTGGCTCAGTGGTAGAGCGTCGGTTTGCGACTGAAAGGTCCCAGGTTCGATTCCAGTCAAGGGCATGTACCTTCGTTGCGAGCACATCCCCAGTAAGGCGTGTGCAAGAGGCAGCTGATCAATGTTTCTCTCTCATCTACGTTTCTAGCTCTCTATCTCTCTCCCTTCCTCTCTGTAAAAAATCAATAAAATATATATTTTTTTTAAATAAGTATCTTTTACATCTTTTAACCCATTAACTCGTTATGTCTTCATATACTGAGGCCTTTCACTTCTCTGTAGTTTTCAGTGGACAGGTCTTTCACTTCATTTTCATAAGTGGTATTGTTTTATTTAATGCTAGTATGTGGAAATACCATTGATTTTTTTTTATATTGATCTATCTGGAAAACTTGCTAAACTCATATTAATTATCAAAGCTTTTTGTAGAAGCTATTAGATTTTCTACATCATGTCATCTGTCATTAAAAATAGTTTTGATTCTTTTCAATATGAATAGCTGATTTCTTTTTCTTGCACTGCCTTGAACTATACCAAATAGAATTACTAAGAACTAATCTCCATGCCTTGCTCCTGATTTTTTTTTTGATTGATTGATTTGAGAGAGAAAGAGAAGAAGGGAGAGAAAGAGAAGCAAAACCATCTTTTTGTTGTTCCACTTATTTATGCACGCATTGGTTGAATCTTATATGCACCCTGCCTGGAGATTGAACCACACCTTGGCATATAGGGATGATGCTCTAACCAACTGAGCTACCTGTTCAGGGCTCCATGCCTTGCTCCTGAGTTTAAGAAGACATTCAGTCTTTCATCATTGAAGACATTAATATGATATTAAATGTGATATTAACTACAGCTTTTTATAAAGCCCTTTATCAGATTGAGGAAGTGACTTTATTCCTAGTTTGCTGAGACTTTTTATCGGAAAAGAATGCTAATTTTGTCAAATGATTTTTTTGTATCGAAAGATTATGTTTTTCTTTTTTTTAGTTTGTTAATATGATTAGTTACATCAATCAATTTTTGAATGTTAAACCATCCTTCCATTCCTGGAATAAACCCTACTTCTTTTTTTAAAATATTTTTTATTGATTTTTTTACAGAGAGGAAGGGAGAGGGATAGAGAATTAGAAACATTGATGAGAGAGAAACATTGATCAGCTGCCTCCTGCACACCCCCTACTGGGGATGTGCCCGCAAACAAGGTACATGCCCTTGACTGGAATTGAACCTGGGATCTTTTCAGACCACAGGCTGACACTCTATCCACTGAGCCAAACCAGTTAGGGCAAATCCTACTTCTTAGTGATGCGTTATTTCTTTCATATATTATTGGATTCGATTTAAAATTTTATGTTTAAATTTTATGTTGTATGTTCAAGAGTGATACTGGCCTGTAATTTCCTTTTGTTTCAATCTTTTTGTCTGGTTTCACTATCAGAATAATGCTGATCTCAAAAGAATGAGTTAAAAAATATTGTCTCTTTTTTATTTTCTGGAAGAATTTGTATAGAATTGGAATTATTTTTTCCATAAATATTTGGTAGAATTGTCCAGCAAAGCTGTCTAGGTCTAAAGTGTTCTTTGTGGAAAAGTCTTTTTGCTAGCTTGTATTTTCCAAGGGATTTGTTCATTTTATCTCAGTTGTCATGCTTATTAAAATTGTTCATAAGATTTCCTATTATCCTCTTAATATCTATAAAATCTATAGTAATATCATCTCATTTCTGATCATTTGTTTCTGTTCAATTTTATTGCTTATCAGCCTGACTAGACAGTTATCACTTTAATTGATCATGTCAAAACTTTGTGTCTTGGGCCTTGTATTGATTTTTTTTAGATAGGAGTCATTCCACTCTCTTATTTCATTTTGGCTGAAAGCAAAAGTTTTCTTCACTAATTTCAATATTAAATAAAAGTTATTCAAAAATTTTTATAGTGCCTTTATAAATGTCAGTGTTATCTTTCATATTTTCAAATGAAAAAGGTATACCCAGCAAACATAAGCATAATCATATTAAATATTAAAATAACTTAAATTATCTCTTTAATAATCCAAGGCCTGAGTCCTCTTTAAACGCATAACAACCAGCCTGAGGGCCTGCTTCAGTCAGGGCTCCTTTCCTGACTTCCTTTATAAAGTCAACTGTTCATCAAACTAAAGTAACTCTGTTACCAATTTAACAATGTAAGTTTTTTTATTGTTAAAACAAACTTAGGGAATGAAAGCCTTATAGCCATTGTGGGTTTCAGTGTTTATAAGCAGTTACCCACTTTGAATGAGAAGTGCATCCCATCCATAGCATTTTGCTCTCTTCTTGTCTGCATAGCCTTTGACAAAAGAGGCTCTAGGCACCTAAAATATTACTTAATCCCTTATCCTCCTCTTATGTTCACCATCTTACTAACACCAACTTACAATCACCAACTTATTAAAGGTCTCTCTAAGCACAGTAACTGGAGAAACAGCTGAGGCCTAGTTATAAGCTTTTGGCTAATTATTTGTCTGTTCATTTAACTTGGTATTTATGTTTTTAGGAGCACAGCTACAGTGTAATGGACAGTCCAAAGAAACTTAAGTATAAATTAGATCATGTGATCAGCGAGCTAGAGGATACCAAGAAAAGTCTGCAGAATGTTTTAGACCGAGAAAAGCGTTTCCAAAAATCATTGGGGAAGACAATCAGGGAATTAAAGGATGACTGTCTCATCAGCCAAGAAACAGCAAATAGACTGGAAGCTTTTTGTTGGGAATATTATCAGGAGAGCATAGAATGAGACTGTATTTCATGAAATAATTTCACGTTATGTTTAACCTAAAATTGACATTGGTACAACTTTTTAGAAAATAATTCTTATTTACCATTATTAAATACTGTCTATCATTTAGAGTGTTCTTTGGGTCCTCTTCAGCATTAATAAGCATTATAGTTGTTATCCAAAGACCATTTTTTAAGACATGCAGAAATTTGTGTTAGTTCTCATGTTTTGGTGTGACTTGTAACAATTACGTTTTTATATATCTAAACTAGTGCCAGGTCATTAGTGTAAGTCCATGGTCGGCAAACCGGCTCGTGAGCCACATGCGGCTCTTTGGCCCCTTGAGTGTGGCTCTTCCACAAAACACCATGGCCTGGGCGAGTCTGTTTTGAAGAAGTGGTGTTAGAAGAAGTTTAAGTTTAAAAAATTTGGCTCTCAAAAGAAATTTCAATCGTTGTACTGTTGATATTTGGCTCTGTTGACTAAAGAGTTTGCCAACCACTAGTGTAAATTAAAAGATCGAGAAAATTCTCCAGACTAAGGAAATGATATCAAATCAGCCATGTTAAGCTATGGTAGTAGGAACTGAACACTTCTTCAGCAGCAGCAGATTTTTTACTTCAAAGGAATACTTTTACTATTATTTATGTAGGTACTCTTTATGGTAAATATGTTCAATTATACTTTAAAATGTATCTTACTATAAAGCAGAATTTATTTATAACACATGTTGACTTTGGATCTAGTCCAAGGTGTTTTGTTATCAGTAATACCAAAAGATCTTTTCACAAGACATCCCATGGTACTGGCTCTAAGAACAGCATATGGTACAAAACTTTAGGCTTTTAAAGTTGTCCAGAGACAAGTTAAGAAGACTCCTGGACAAGGTCTTAGTTTTTAAATAGAGTACATTGTTCTTCCTCACTACTTTTATGTAAACCTGTGTAGTTTTAAAAAATTTTAGAAATTTTCATAAATCTGATTTTTCTAATAGCTAGTTACTCTGACAATTCCGAACATTCTGGGTTTTTTTTACTGTCATTTCATCACAAAGGTATATCTTCAAAATCTGAATGCCAGTACTTTCAGTTTAATGCTGCTTTATATTTTACAGAAAGTAATATTGCTGACACTTTCAAAAGTATAAAATATAGAAGAAACTATTTTAAAAGAATGATGTGTCTCTTCCAGTGGTATTAGGAATTGGAAAAAGGGTTATAATATTTTCCTCTAATTAGAAGAATAGATTACCATTCAAGAGCTTTTATATAGAGAAATCGGTAAGAAAAACATCAGCTTTATAAGTAGTTTCTGAGTACACAGATAACTCTTAGCTATTTTCTGATTGATCCAAGTGTCAGAAATTTTGGTTTTCTCTCAGTTTCTTAGTAAAAGCAACTGAAATTAAGAAACATAAAAACTATGGATTAGAATGCAATGTACTAACCCAAAGTCAAATTCTACTTTGAAGCATATGTACATATATGAATCTCATTAAGGCATCTATGTTATAGTATTTAGAATTTGAGTGTCAATTATTTCAATGTGTTAACTAGAAATGAACTACATTTGTGCTAAAATGTTCATTATAATTTTGTTTGTGATATATTAATATCATTAAGGATATCGTCACTTGAATTTTTTTATATTTAAGAATTCTCCGTTTTAATGCATGTTATATTTTTATATAGGACTCCAAACCTTCTGTCTGAATGGGATTTTTACCCACATTTGACGGATCAGCATTATGCTAAGAAATTTCTGAGGTCATATATTTTTACTACCTTAAAAAAAACTCATTAGTTACCCATTATTTATGTTATTTAATTTTGAATTCATGATGGACACTTAAGTGGGAAGTTTGGGAATGACTTCTGTGACAAATATGGAGATTTTTCTCTCTCATCCTATTTTTTCAAATAAAGTCACTGGGCAGTGGAGAAAAGTAAAAGGATAGATCCAAAACAGTGTGTCCAAACTCTAGCTCTCTACAGGCTGCTTAAAATAAATCAAGCCCGGGAGACCTTACAAAAGCCAAGTCCCAGTTTCTGCCTCTATCAGTTAACCAGTTACTCTTTTACTACTTGTGTTCAGAGTGAATTCAGTCCTTGTGCTCTTTTTCATTGGTCTTCGTATCACTGAGCGAGAGATAACTGTGGGGAAATATTGGTATCATCAATGAATTGGAGTACCCATTTGCTCTTTATTTTTATGGAGATGTGATTACCAATAGAAATATGACATAACAAAGGCCCTCTCCACCTGCCACCCCAAACATATGTTTGACTACAGTATATACCTCAGTTCACAGTTCCCAGAGAACAGTTCTTAGCCTGGGGAAGAGCTGTTCTATGCGGAGCAAAATCAGTCATCTCCCATCCAGAGGTTCCTCCAGGAACCAAGGCCAGCCAAGGGTTTCCCTTCGTTTTAAGGCTCAGCGTGGCCTCTGGATTCTGGAACAAACCAATACATCAGTTCAACCTCAGCCCCAAATCGGGTGTGAAGGACATGACAAGGCGTTTTTCTCCATATAAAGTTTAAATCTTTAGACTTTGGTTGCTAAAGATAATCATAATTATAACATAGTCTTTAAATGGAGGACAGATGAAATGTATTAAAATTTGTATACTTAGTTTCCATGAAAAAATAAGATTGTTACAGAAATAACAGGGTTGAAGAATCCATTATATACTTGAAAAAATATTTTCTTCAGTAACATGCTCTATGTGGTTTTTATACATTTAGTTATTCAATAAAATGAAGCAAAAAAAATCAAGAGTTTGCCTTAATGTTTTCCACATTTTCTCCACCAATAACTCGAATATAAGTCTACTAGGTTAGATGACCCAAGTGGCAGGCCTGCTTCCACTACAATATGGATCTGCTCTGGGCCTCACTCAAATCTGGCAGCCTTTCATGTCATCCAATGTAGAGCAGAGAGCAGTATTCTTAGGTGTGAAATATGCTGCCTTCAGACCTCAAAGAGGCCTATTAAGCACTGTGCTTCCACCTTCATAGTGAGATACAAGTTGCACTAATATGTCTTATACTTCAGTGGGGATGTCCTAGCATGCCCCTCCCCCAAATTTTACTGATGTAGGCTCCTAATGCTTTTCTCCTCACTGTTCTGTTGGATGACATACATGCTCAGTAGATTTCATACCACAACATCTGAAAATGTAAGTGTTTGAGTCTGATTCAGTCTCATTTAGTTAATATTTATCTTAGGCACATAAAGAAGTTATAAACTAACATTATTACATGTACAATATTAACCCCATGATTGGCAAACTGCGGCTCACAAGCCACATGCGGTTCTTTGGCCCCTTGAGTGTGGCTCTTCCACAAAATACCATGGCCTGGGTGAGTCTATTTTGAAGAAGTGGCATTAGAAGAAGTTTAAGTTTAAAAAATTTGGCCCTCAAAAGAAATTTCAATTGTTGTACTGTTGATATTTGGCTCTGCTGACTAATGAGTTTGCCGACCACTGTACTAACCTATTACATGTAATGCTTTCAAAGCTCCATACATTATTGTGTGGGATACAAAGAGGATAAGATGAGGTGTTCATAACCTATAGGGATATACAAATATGTACCTAACACAAATACAGAGAAGTAGGCAATTGTCAGAACTGTGTCAATTAGAGAAGGCAGACTATGAAACTAACAGTACCTCAAAGTTCCAAAATGGAACATTAGTGTGTCAGGGTGCATTTTTAAAGTTCTGTCCTGGGTCCTGGATTCTATTAGCACTCTCCTTGGATGTGACAATAAAAGACCAAACTACCCAGAGACCTAGGTTCCAATCTCAAACCTGCCACTTTATTACATACAATCTGCACCCTCTCGCAATCCAGGACCCCTTGAAAGATGTTGGACTGCCAGTTTCAGCCTGATCCTCACAGGCTGTCCAACATCCCCCAAGGAATATGGTAGTGCATGAGTGGCAGCCAGGGAAGAGCCTGAGCCCTGGCCAGGCGCCCTGCAGCTATGCTTGCCACCGCAACCCAGTAGTGCTGCCTCAGAGGCCAGAGGGGCTGGAGCCAAACAGCTGCGCTCATGGGTCAGCTGAGCGGCGCTTCCACTGTGAGAGCGCATTGACCACCAGGGGGCAGCTCCTGAGTTACCATCTGTCCCCTGATGGTCGGTGTCCGTCATAGTGACCAATCAGTTTACTGGTCATTTGGTCACTTGGGCTTTTATATATAGATGGGACCTGGGTCAAGTTAGTGACTACATAATCTGGAATAGTGCTATTAAATTGCTCTCCTGTGAACTTTTTTACTGGTCCAGAATGAAATAAGATGTTTGTTCCAGAATGTAAATCAGCACACTATTTTATTGTCCACATTTACAAAGTGGACAATACTTCCTTACCCACTTGTGAGAATTGTATTTAATTGTGTGTAAAACAGACCATACCATGAGCCCTCCATATATTACTTTCCTTTCTTTAAACCCCATGCCAGAGTTAACAGGAAGAAGGGCAAAAAGCAAGATGGGGAAATGAGTTTGACAGGAAATGATAGTAGCCCAGGAGGCTATTTGGGCCTTGAATTGCCATCTCTCCTTGTAGCAGCTCAAAAGCAGGGAAGGAACATTCCCCCATTGAAAGAGACTATTTTATTTATTTGCCATCCTTCTCTCCATTCTGCCCCCTCTACCCCGAAAAGCCATTTAATCCATCATAGGTATATCATTCATTTATTCAACTTCATAAAGCACTTTAGATGGTGCTACTCAAATGTGGCTCACAGACATGTGTACATGTTAAAAACCTTACACCAGAATGCAAATCAACTACATCTCGAAGCACTGTTCAGTCAACATCTTTTTCATGGCAAGATTTTCTCGGTGAATAAAATAGTCTCTTTCAATGGGGGAATGTTCCTTCCCTGCTTTTGAGCTGCTACAAGGAGAGATGGCAATTCAAGGCCCAAATAGCCTCCTGGGCTACTATCATTTCCTGTCAAACTCATTTCCCCATCTTGCTTTTTGCCCTTCTTCCTGTTAACTCTGGCATGGGGTTTAAAGAAAGGAAAGTAATATATGGAGGGCTCATGGTATGGTCTGTTTTACATTCTTGGAACAAACATCTTATTTCATTCTGGACCAGTAAAAAAGTTCACAGGAGAGCGATTTAATAGCACTATTTAAGATTATGTAGTCACTAAATAGGCAATCTTTGAACTAACCTTAGCTTATTGATTTGTGGTGGGTTGACAGTAGAAGAGGCCGCAGCAGATCTGTATCAGTTAACAAACTCCAAATGCTTGTGGTAGAGCTTGTGGAGTTGAAAGATAACATCACATCAGACTCAAGATCTGGGCCTCATGCTTTTGAAAACAAGTGTTTTATTAAACAGAGATAGTGAAGAGTACAGGTTGTGCAGAATGCTAACCACAAACACTGGTGATGAGCACTTTGTGGAGACGGGCCTCCCACTGCAGACTTGCCAGCAAACTGTACTCACATACAATTTAACTAAAAATGAAGGGGACTGATGTTTATGGAAGAGATTTTGTAATGGTAAAAAATGTTGCCAGGCTACACAGCTGAAGGAGATTATCTCTGAAATCCTAAAGATTTCAAGAAATGTTTTGGTTGCCACTCATGTCACTATGACACTTGCAGATGACTCTTAGGTAGGGAATGTCTTAGTGAGATGGATGGACATTTCACCTTTTTTGTGGCCATCACAATTATCTGGCCATTTTTCATTGAAAAGATAGGAAATGCTTTTAACCAGCAATAAATGTGACTATTCAAAAAAATCAAACAAGGCCCATAGGGACTGGAAACTTTCAGAGTGGAATGAAAATGTATTCTGTAATTTAAATCTAAATCCAGTTTTGGCAAGTTATTTTTAAATGTACTTTATGGCACAGAAACTGCATGTGCCCAAAGTGGGCTATGAGAGGATTGTTTGTAAGAGAAGAAAATGGAAAGCAACCCAAATTCCATCAAGCAGTGAATGGATAAATAAAATTATGATGCATCCATATAATATGCCTAAGCAACTGTCACAACCAAAACAACTGAACAGATGACCAAACAGGCTGCGTGGGGTGACCAGGCCAGGAGAGGGATTAGTGAGGGGAGACCAAATGACTGAACAACAGGCTGCATGGAGCAATCAGGCTAGTGGGGCAGGAGGGCAGTTAGGGGTCATCAGGCTGGCAGAGGGGGAAGTTAGGGGCAACCAGGCCAGCGGGCGGGGGGCAGGGGGGGGGGGGGGGTTTAGAGGTGAACAGGCCAGCAGGCAGAGGCAGTTAGGGGTGATTAGGCAGGCAGGCAGGCAGATGAGCGGTTAGGAGCCAGTGGTCCAGGATTGTGAGAGGGATGTCCAGCTGCCAGTTTAGACCCAATCAGGCCTAAACCAGAAGTTGGACATCCCCCAAGGGGTCCCAGATTGGAGGGTGCAGATTGGGCTGAGGAGACCCTCTCCCTCCTGTGCACAAATTTCATGCACTGGGCCTCTAGTGCTGTAATAAGCAGCAATTGAAAAAAAAAGACATCAATCTATATGTATTGGAATGGAGAGAAAAAACATTTTAAGTGAGAAGAAATAATATAGAAGGCAATTCAAAATATCCTGTTTATGTAAAATAATTTTAAACCCACCTACAAAACAATTTCTAATTGCATGTGTGTGTAAATATACAGAAAAGGAATTGAAGGATCTGCCAACTGCTAAAAGTGCTTCTGGAGAGGGGAATGTATATAGTTCTTGTGACAAAAACACAGAGAGGAAAGAGGAAGAGAAAACATCCAGGCAGGGAGGGAGGGAAAGAAAAGAAAGGAAGTTACAATAACAGCATTCTGTATATTTAAATAAAAACATTTCACCTCTTAAAAACTAGTAGTTGATTGTTATCATTACGCTCATCAACTCCTTAAGACACAGACTAAAGTTGGATCCAGGTCTTGAATTGCTACCATTTCCTGTGAAACTTGGATATTTCCAAGAACTCTCTCACACCCCTGTCAGCTTAGCTACTGAGATTTACAGAAACCACTGTCTGGGTAGGGATGGTTACAGATTTCAGTTAGCTGTGACTAGCCACCTAGCAGAACCCTAAAAAAAAAAAAAAAAAAATTAAACACGCACACTCTCATCCCCTGCTGAGAACCTTTCAATCCAGCTTTCCAGTTAACTCAGTACCTCAGAACACTAACACTAAAAACCATGACTTCAGAGTACTGATACCCAGAAGTATGGCACACTCTCGTAGAACTTTCCACAATTCATAAATCTTCATATTTCTGCCTTTTCTTCATTTTATTTCATACCCAGGTTCTAGAGGAATGTTTATCTGAGGCAGAAAATTATTAATGTTCAATAATAAAGACAGCTAATATTTACAAAGTGCCCATCTCTATTCCAGGTGCTTAAATGTTAACTCATTTCACCTCACAACAATCCTATATGGTAGGTACTATTATTTTTCTCATTTTACAGGTGAGGAAATTAAACAGAAATGTTAGGTGACTTGCCCAAAGTACAATGATAAATATTTTAGCATCCTTATACAAGGAGACACATTGTCATCATCCGTGATCTACAATGCCAGACCTGGAGGTTTCAATTCACTAAATGTTGAATTGCTGTTGAGCATATATACAGTATCTAAGGCTAGACTTAGATCATTCCATTCAGAAGCTCTAGATGGGGTAGTTACAGGTCGAAGGATAAAATGTGAACTCATCCTGTGTCTGAAGCTGGGGAGACTCCACAGTTACTCATTACCACAATCTGA